ACCATCTTCCTGGTTTGTTTGCATTCTCAAAAAAGTTTTGGTTTGCCCTTTTGGTTTGTTGAGCTATTTCTTTTGAAGCTATTAAGTTCAATCTGTGTTTAATCATTTCCATTTGTCTTTTAAATATTTTCTTTTGTGGCTCTCTCTGAAGCTCTAACTCCAGTTTCTTATATTCTTCTTTTAGCATCGTACTTTGTTGATTTTTCTCTTTATTCTTTTTAGCCATATAAGTTATGTTGAGTTGCCAATCCCAACTGTGGTTGCTAAACAAGGACAACTTGTACTTAATTTTACAATATTTATTAATATTACTTATATTACTTATTTAAATGTTGCTCTGTAATTGAATGGGCAGGTAATGCTACATTAAATATGTTTCTGGTTCACTAGCTATTCCAAGTCCAGATCAAAACTGAATCGAAAGACAGCAAGATTCTAGTCCTTCTCTTGTTCTAGCAAGATCTTGAGATTCAAAAGTACAGAGATTTGATTTCAGAAATGATCATACAATGTAATGAGATAGCATCAAAGTGGCTGACCATTTGTCCATATGAGGAAGAAAATCTACAAAATCTCTGTTAAAAGATTCTGCAAAATCACAAAGTCCACTGACCATCCAAATCAAATATTTCTGATGTGATTTGAAAAATACAAATGAGAATGATGATTTGACTACATCTTCTTCAAATAAAATATTCCTTCCAACAGTCACACAGCCATAGTGGTTACCATAGAAAAGAAATGAAGGAAGAAATAATAATACAATAAGTAGTACTGGAAATCTCTCCCCCTCACACCCTCGGAAAGCCTGATTTTAAAGCTGCTCTCTTTGATGACTGCATGCTCTAATAAGATTCTCCGTGAACAAGAAACTCATAACATATTCAAGAGAAGAGACCCTCTGTATCAGAATGTTAATATGCACGTATTTATCTGAGTTGCCTCTAAAGGGATTTCAATTAAGAATGCTCTTCCTTATATATTTAAATTGAAGACTTTAACCCTATATCTGCAGGTATACAAATAAATAGGAGCGTTCTACTTTTTTGACCTTTGATGCTGTAAATAGATCTGTATAAGCTGCATTTTTTGTCTTTAATTTCACCCAATACAAATTGCTTGGTAGAAAGAATTTGAGGTTACACAGAAATGGTGGTACAGTCTTAAATTCTTTTTTCGCATGTTTAATATGTCAAAAGGGCATGGAAAAATGAATCATTCTTTACTTACAAGCCTTGTATTATGGAGTTCTAACGGAGAATTGCTATGGAATGGGCCCTGTGATATATAGATCAAATCTTAGGATCTTGCAGAGAACCAGAATTGATTCACTTGATTTATTAAGCACTTGACTGATTATTTATTTCTATTATTGTTTTGGTTGTTGTTGTATTTGGCTGAGATCGAGATACTAATCCAAAGTAATTCAATAACCTTTATGATTCTGTGAGGATCTGCTGCAAATTTTTATCTCCCCAATTAACTCAAAACATTTTTATTAAGTTATAAAGTATTATAAAATACAAAATTAAATAAAAAAGCAGTGAGGAGGGAAGGGAAAGGGGGAAGAGAAGTGAGGAAAGGTAGGGAAAAGAAAAGAAAAGAAAAAGAAGCATTGACTTCCGACTCTCTCTGTTCCAGTAGGATAAGGCATTAGCATCAAATCACAGCTTTTTGTTTTGTTCATAATAATATGAACAAGTCATTTCTATAAAGATCTATTAATCTAATCTATAAAACCCAAAGTCAACATTACATTCTTTTCCACATCAAACACAAAATTCAGAAGCGGTTTCCATGTTGGAAACAAAAGTACTTATGTTCTTTTCTTTAATCAGAGTAGTCAGTTTTGCCATTTCAGCCAACTCCATCAACTTCTGCAACCATTCTTCCATGGTAGTAATCAAAGTGTCTTTCCATTTTTGTGCATACAATAGTCTTAATAATCTAATTAAGACCTATGCTACCAATTACAAATCTCTGGCTCAATGTTTGCCATGTTGTGCCTTAAAATACTTAGCAATTTATATCAGTGATTTAATTTAGAATATAACTTTATGGATAAGATTTTCAGAAAATTAAGGTAAGCCTATCTTAAAGTAACTAAAAATAATGGTGTCATTCATACTAAGGAAACTGTTGTAAGATATTTCTGAGATAGAGAAACAATCTATGGCAGGGGTGTCAAAGTCACAGCCCGTGGGCCGGATGCATCATGTGCTGGCCACACCCAGTTTAGTGAAGGGGGAAAAAGTCCCAATACGTCATGTGGCGCTGCTGTGACGATGCGAGTTTGACACCCCTGATGTATGGGGTGAAAGAAGGGAGAACTAAATTGTTTTCTTTGGGTTTTATATACTTTGGCCTGCCTTGGTGAAGTGTTTGGTAGACCCTGTTACTCATAATTATCTTCCAGGAAGACACCTGTCATCTTCCTCTTCCCATTTGTATGGGAGAAATTGGTATCCCACAGGACAAATACTTATTAACAAGTAACAACAACAAAAGGAAATAGACTCTGAAGCCAATTGTTTTACCTGTAACTTTTGGAAAATATGATTAGACAAAACAGAATGCCCTTTGGTTAGTTAGTTCAATAACTCAAAGTGTAATTTAAAGCCAATTTTATTAAAAGTAAAAAAAGAAAAAAAATCCCAATAAACTTTATGTAGTTATAAGTAACAAAACAAGACGAACAGCTGCAATTGTAGTGGCGATGGGCACATTGGAAGACCTAAAGGACCAGGTTGGGACAGATTGTCTTGAAGAAAATTGATATTTGTGGTTGCTTAGAGTTGACATCAACTTGATGGCACATAGTCCTCAGTCAGTCAGTCAGTTACATGCAAATGGCGATAACATAGGAAAGAAAGCACTGAAAATATCAAAAACAATAACTTACAAGAATCATCACCATCATCTTCATTTAACGACTCCATAATCCCTTGCGGGGTGGAGCCTGAGCAACTGAATGGAGTTAGCAGAGTGTTTTAATGGGCGGATGTCGTTTCTATCGCCAATGCGGAGTTTTGTTCAGAAGATATATTCTCAGTGTGCCCAGAAAGAGAAATAGCTGCCTCTATCTAGGATCGAACTTACAGCCTCCTAATTGTGAGGCGAGAGCTCCATCTCTCGGCCACCGCACCACCTCAGTAATTTACAAGAATCTCTCATTTAAAACAAAAACAAAGAGGACATACACTTGGTCAAATTCAAGGAGGGAAGGATCTGCTGCTGAAAGAGCTCAAGAAATAATGGATATATATAAACTTGCACAAATAGAATTCAGATACGATAGCTATCAAATATTTGATATTTGATATAAATCTTGGCAGAATCTTGGGTACAAACATTGCCTGTACATCGGAAATGAAAGATGATTCCCATGACCAATTCCTGCCAGATTTTTCTGGATAATCCCTAAATCAAGTTAACTGCAAACTTAATTCAGAGTCTTAAGTGAACTTTTCACCATGATACTTTTTTCACTGTAATCTTTGTTTCCTAGGTAATTGTTCCCTGACAGATTTCCTTATTTGCTTACTCTGGATCCCATCCTAAATATTCCAGCTGTTCTTCTCTGTCTCTGCCTAGAGCTCCTCTCCTTATCTATCATTGTGTTGTACCTTATGATTCTTGATGAACATATCTTTTCTTTTATGTACACTGAGAGCATATGTACCAAGACAAATTCCTTGTGAGTCCAATCACACTTGGCCAATAAAGAATTCTATTCTATTCTATTCTATTCTATTCTATTCTATTCTATTCTATTCTATTCTATTCTATTCTATTCTATTCTACTCTACTCTACTCTACTCTACTCTACTCTACTCTACTCTACTCTACTCTACTCTACTCTATTCTATCTCCACACCACCACCAGCCCTGTCTTAGATTTTGAAAGGACTTTGTTGTCTTATCGGAAAAGGAAGGGGCAAGAGATGTGTATGTAGACCAGAGCAGATACCCATTGTCCCTCTGAATGATGTAAATAGAAACCCAGTTAAGCAGTATGTGGTTTCCCTGCCTGGGGTACAATTATCTGCCCTGTGATTGCTTGGTGGCAATACAACAATTTCATCTACTGAATTTATGGTAGATTACAAATGAGAAAAACAAGAAAGTGGAAGCTAGTGAAATTTTTTGTGGCTTTTGCTTTTTGTTTTCTTTTCTTTCTTTCTTTCTTTCTTTCTTTTTTTTTTTTTTGCTAGATACCATTGCTAGATATACAGTAGAACCAACATTTTGGTTACAGATGTGTTTAGTTTTTTTTTGTTTTTTTTTTTGGAGTCAGATGATAGGCAATTGTTTTGGGGGAAAAAACCGATTCAAAGCTCACATGACATTCTATCAGTTATCTATCTATCTATCTATCTATCTATCTATCTATCTATCTATCTATCTATCTATCTATCTATCTATCTATCTATCTAATCTATCTACCTATCATCCATCCATCCATCATCGATCTATCTATCTATCTTATAAGAGGAAAGCTTGTAGTTGAGTTGGTTTTAGGTTATGGATATAGTATTAGACTTCATCTATTTCTTTCTATCATCTATCTATCTATCTATCTATCTATCTATCTATCTATCTATCTATCTAAAACCACACCTTTATTATTCTTAAAAACAACTCAAAGTGGTGAACATATCTAATACTCTTTCCTCCTCCTATTTTCCCCACAACAAAGGCTCTGTGAAGTGAGTTGGGCTAAGAGAGATGGACTGGCTCAAGGTCAACCAGCTGGCTTTCACGGCTATGGTGGGACTAGAACTCACCAACTCCTGGTTTCTAACCTGGTGCCTTAATCATAAATCAGCTTTGCGGACTCTATGCCTGCCTGATATGTTTCAACATGACGGCAGCAAAGACTGTTCAAGGACTAATGATCTTGTCTCATCTGAGGAAGCTAAAGATAAAACATTATAACTTGATAAGATGGTAGCATTCCCACACACATATATCACATACAGGCAGTGGAAGCAAATTACCTGTTCTGGTTTCAGTCCAGGAGGGACCCAAGCGTATTCTTCCAAGGCACAGCCAGAATCATCATCAGAAGTTGAATTCCTCTGGAAGTCAAACATCAGCTTGGTCACTGTCTTCTCCATTTCTAAAGGCATCACTGTTTCAAAGTGTTCTGACTGTGGACACTTACAGTGCCGGCAAATTTTTCTGGGGATATGAAGTAAAAAGCCAACAGTTATCCTCTATTTAAGGATGTATGAAATAGAGATTAGAATGTCTGAGGTATGAATATCAATGAAGGTCATCTAGCATCCAAATGCCATGTATCCATAGCTTTACAATTATATAAACAAAATTATGAATTCACACCTACTAAACACCTAAGGACTTTCCTGAAAAAAAACTGATGGTTTTGGCTAATTGTTGAACATACGATTATCAAAACATAATTATATGTTGTGAGCACATGCTATAGTGGCTTTCTTTTGAATGAAAATAATTTCACATATTAACTTTACTCTGGAAACTCTTCTTTTGAATTACATATTCCTGGTTTGGCAAGTACAAGGGAACAATGTATAATGCATATTTTGTGATCACAGTAACATTGATACATGCATTTTTCCTCAATTATACAGCTGTCTAAAGAAATCACTTCCCTTTCTATATCTGAACATACAATTTACCATCAGGGTTCCCATCTGAAGGACTGTTTAGAAATCTGGTTATTTTTTCTTTGAGCTGGCTTAAATGTAATAGTTAATTATATCCATGCCACATTATTATGCAACATGACTCTCTCTCTCTCTCTCTCTCTCTCACACACACACACACACACACAGAGAGAGAGAGAGAGAGAGAGAGTTTTGTTTCATACATAACAGATGTATGTTTTTGCAGAATTTGCTCTCCTTCCTTCATGAGTCAGTGTGAAGACTCTGAATGGCTCGCAATTCCTATTCCGGTAAGTAAATTAAACAATATAAAAACCCAACCCAACTCATTGCTGTCAATCCATGGCACCAATATTCTTGGCATAGAATCATGATTTCATTCTTGTCCCCAAAAGCCCTCTGAAAGAGCCAAAACTGGGACACAAAAATACATTAAATGCCCTCTGTCTACTGTACATCCATAGACTGGTCGTGTGCCAGTTTCAAAAGAAAATGGAAATGAAAATAGCACAACTGAGGAACACTGGTGCAAACTAATTTGTACTAATATGACTTGAGATATTATATCTGTTGTGGTCATTGTGACATCTATATCCCTGGGAAATGGTTATTGGATGGAGGTTGCCTTGGATAAAGCAGCTGTCAGCAATAAGCCTGCATGGGATAAGTGAAATGCAATGTCTACATGTAAACAACAACCTGTCCTTGACAAAATGCCAGAGCCCCAAAGCAGTTTTCTAAACCCAAGCATAATTCTTTCATTTGGAGAGGAGGAAAAAAAAATGCAGCGAGCTCCAGACCACCCATACAGAACTGGCTGTAAGGATTTAAGGATCAAATGCATTTGATAGACGATCTGGGATACACCTCTTTATTTCCCCTCCTTTGACAGCACCCATAAATATGCAAAGAGTGCCAGATCATCAGCACGTCCAGTTCAGCAAGCAGAAAGGCTGTCATATACAGCATGCAAAATGTCAACGTAAACAGAAACTTCAGACCGACAAATTCCTTAACAATGACAGAACATCATAGACAGGGTTGTGCTAAATAAAGGGAGTGATGAAAGTTGCCCACTAGCAACTGCTAACTCTCTACAAGATTATCACAAGGCTGCTTTACAGAGAATAAGGCTAAAGCTCAGTAGATATCTCCTACACATGAAGTTCCTAACTTTGATCCCAAGTGAAGGTAAACAAGACTGCCTTGTCTAACAAGGAGCTCTCTTCAGAATTCGTTTCTTTGGGCTGGCTTTTCTTATTCCCTTCTCAGAAGGCAACTTCATGGGCAGTAACAGCTCCCGAGGAAAGGAAATATCTGATCAAATACCCAAGAAGTAGAGGAGAGCCTAGTTTTGAAACTGTGATGGTTGACCTAGTCAATGAAACTACATTGACCTAGGATAGGAAAAGACATGAAGGGTTTCAGTTAAAACAAATCTCCTAGCCTAATTTAGAACCTAATCGATTCTAAATCCTGCTAGCCATGGTCTACAATATTTGTCTCCTTCAAGATAGCTTTGTCTAACCAGGTACCCTCTAACCTTGGTAGTGTAACGGCTATGCTACTTGGAGTTGTGTTTCAGCAAACCTGCAGGCACCAGACTTGCTTGAAAAGAATTAAGGATCTCCATTTTTTAATTAGGAATTCTTGGTTGAGCTGTTGGATGACTTTGGTGGAAGGAAAGATAAGATTTTGCATCTTAGTAGATATCAAATATCAAATGAACAGATACAGAGCTGGGCTTGTCAACAATGATTGTGAAAATGGCGCTGTGATCCTAAATGGATCAGGGCAGAGATGAAAGTCAGCAGGTTCTGATAGGTTCTGGAGAACTAGTAGTGGAAATTTTGAGTAGTTTAGACAACCGGCAAATACCACCTCTGGCTGTCCCCAGAGTGGGGTGGGAATGGAGATTTTGCAATATCCTTCACCCAGGAGTGGGGAGGGAATGGGGATTTTGCAGTATTCTTCCCCTGGAGTGGGGAGGGAATGGGGATTTTGCAGTATCCTTCCCCCACCAAGCCATGTCCACCAAGCCACGCCACGCCCACAGAACCGGTAGTAAAAAAAAATTGAATTTCCGCACTGGATCAGGGGCTAAATCTGAGCTATCAGTGTAACGCAGCAAAGAATAGAAAAAACATTGCACCTAGATCATGGGAAGTACTTAAATTGGGCTTGGAATGTACTGGTTCTGGACAGGGCACTTTAAAAGGGAAATTTGGAATGGGTGCAAAAGGGAACTACCAGGTTGGAAAGGGGCTAACAAACCACATTCTCTGGAGAAAGATTAAAGGAGCTGGGTATATTTACTTCTTGAAAGGGAAGACTAAGAATAGCAACCCACTAAATGTCTATGGAGATTCTCAACCATCCAGGTCATGGTTGTCCCAAAGGTTCTTCTTCCAAAAGGCAACTGGACTTTCTTGGGAGTTTTTCCCCTATGAAAACATTTTACTTTTCATCTCAGAAGCTTCTTCAGTTCAGAATTAAAGAAGGTTCTTGGATGAGGAGCTAAACATTGTCAAAGGAGGAGGAAAAAACCTAATATCTGAAAGGCTTTCCTGTGCCCTCCTAAAGCCAAGGTCATGGCATAGCTTAATTGTATTGAAATTAAAAGAAAGATCCTTTCGATTCATATGCTATATATTCTTTGATTAAACAATTTACCAATCCAATAAGTATTGAAATGAAAACAATAATGAGAATCCAATTTCTGTATCTTAAGAGCTAAAAATCGTATCAGCTACCATTTTCAGAGGCAGCAGTAGTATTTTGCAGCTTGAGCCAAAGAAGATTACAATTCCCTCTCCTCTGTTTCAATGTGAACAAAGGCAAAACAAGAATTTTACTTTTTTCCCAGCTCAGGCAAAACAAATAAACAAAAAAACACCCCAGAACTATCTCCAACCTTGAAAGCAGAACTCTATAATCAGCACAGTTTTTCATGACATTCAACACTAGGAAAACTGAGGCAGCTGTTTTACCCTGCCCAAGATTAGTGCTAACGTTCTTGAAATTAATTAAATCGCTGCAGTCTAAAAATATGCTCCGTGTCCTATTTTTTTTAAAAAAATATGGAACATTTGTGAACGTGATGAATATGTTTGGGAAGTTATGAAGAGCTGATCATAAAATAATTTGCAGATGTTCCTAAATCCCTTTAAAATAATAATACATTAATCAAAAATCTTTCTAGGTTATATTGAAGGGATTGTATTCACATTAGTTCGAATTTATCTCTGGTGGTAAAGTTGGTTTAGTTATGAAGTTTCGGTCCACACTGTTGTTTTTTGTACGAATTAGGAAAATTAATCATATCATTTATCTTGTTTTATTTTGATCATTTGTATGCCAAGGAAAGTTAAAAAAAGAGGGGAAAAGCACTTCAAAGGTACACTAAAATACCAAACATAAAAGTCAAAGAATACAGGCAGGCCTACCTGTAACGGAGCCTACCCACCATGGTCATAACTTGTGATGGTCATAAAGCAGATCTTTATGACTTTAGGACATTACCATCAGCCGTAAACATGGCCTGGTTGCCAGGTGTCCAAAATACAGTCACATAACTGAGGGCACAACTGTCTGTCGGAACTTTGAATCTGGGTTGTAAGTACTAAGTAGGTCCATTGGAATTTCAAACGGTCGCTAAGGGACTGGTTGTAAGTCAAGGGCTGCTGGTAGAGACCACTGCTCAGAAACCTCCTTTTCAATCATTGCATCCCTTCCTCCTATGCTAAATAGGAAAAGCTCTCAACAGCTTTCTTCAAACTAGAAGAGATAGTGCCCACCAAAACTCTGCAGGAAGGGAGTATGGGTGTGACCAGGGGTGGGCTGCTGGGGGTTCGCAGGGGTTTGGGAGAACCTCTAGCTAAGATTCTGTGCAGTTCGGAGAACCCCCAAATCCCACTCCTGGCTGGCCCTGCGCACCCCACCCCGCCCCTTCCAGGAGTCCCCACGCAGCCTGTTTTGGATGCAGGTAAGTGCAAGGCGCATGCGGAGGCTCGGGGAGGGTGGAAAATGGGTGTACCGGAAGTTCAGGAAGGCTGGAAACGGGCTTCCAGAGGCCCTCTGGAGCCTGGGGAGGCCGTTTTTGCCCTCCTGAAGGCTCAAGGAAAGCCTCCAGAGCCCGGGGACTCTGAGTGGCTCTGAGTGGCGTAGGAGGCTAATGCCTCCTAAGGCAGCATTTAACATCCAGCTGCCTGCAATTACTGCGAGTTCAATTCTCCCCAGGCTCAAGGTCGACTCAGCCTTCCATCCTTTCTAAGGTGGGTAAATTGAGGACCCAGTTTGTGGGGGCAATAAGCTGACTTTGTATAAATATACAAAAGTATGAAGGCTATTGCTTAACGCATTGTAAGCCGCCCTGAGTCTCCGGAGAAGGGCGGCATAGAAATCAAATTTTTTTAAAAAAACAAAAACGACCCCCCCCTGCTGTGATGCATGAGGCTGACTAGGCCACACCCACCATGGCCACGCCCACCCAGCAACCGGGCAGAGAACCCCTTGCTAAAATTTTTTGAAGCC